GGGGGGTTATTAAAGCGAAGTTAACATTAAGTAGGATAACAGCCCTTTTCCCTGACAGCTGTTCCGGGGCTCCGCACTGGTATCCAAGGATGTGCAAGAATTCGGAGATGCGCTGATACATCACATCCGGCTTCTCCTCCGACAGCAAAGGGCCAGGTCGGGAGCGAAAACTTCATCCTCACTTGCTGGGGCTCTTCTCATTGCACTGCTACGGCTCCTCCCGCAAATCGATATCATGCTTCGCATCCAGGAACACCAGCACCTTCTTCAGGATCTCCATGAGCTCGAACGGGTCCTGACGGAAATTTGCAATCCGCATGTCAGCACAAAGTTGCCAGGCAGCCGGACACGACAGACAAAGGCAGATGAGCAAAGATATATCAACACTATCGAAAACAACATCGGTATGGGCGCACTTGACAAACCGGGTACTGGTCGGGTCCAAAGTACAAAGTGCCTCAGCCAGAAACCTTGCCGAAGCGAGGGGCGCGCCGTTTCATATCAGTGGTCTTGTCTGAGCTTGAAGTCATGCTCTGCATGTTTCGGGATCATGCTCTGTGTCACGAAGAAGAGTCTCATTGAGAGTGACGTGACACCTGCAGTTGCGGTGATTTAGCCCAAGCGGGCCAAGCCAAGCGCCCTACCTGATGCGCTTGAAAAGTGTTGGGGCCAAAGTTGGAAGTACTGGATGCCCTGCTGATTCACTTCTTGCCTCTTGGGCTCTGCCATTAATGGCCATTGCACAGAGCGGATACATGAAATCGCCGGGATGTCGAAAGTGCAAGCGCAACCAGCACCAAGCTTCTGAACACGTCCCCTGCCTTCTCATCGAAGCCCACAAGGGACAAGTCACAGTTGAATGGAGCGGCATTGAGCCTGTCGTGGCAATGTGCAGGTCGGCCGAACCGGCATGACAGGCGCAGCTTCCACCATCCGCCCATCCGCTTCACTTGCAGTGCCTGTCAACGATCTCTTTCAGCTGCGCCGCCATGGGACGGCCTGTCACTAGAGTACGTGCTTCAGACTGCCGGCTCGAGTGGACGAATCCCCGACATGGCACTTAAGATCCTGAATCCCCGACCTTCGCAGCACGATCAGGAAGCAGTTCGCTTCAGGCTCACATTGGCAGCCCAACAGCTGGCAGCCAAATCGGAGGCGTGGCCGTGCCGCAACTGCAAAGGAAGTGAGATCATGCAGGCTTTCGATGGCTCCCAAATACCGATAGCTCTATGTGTCTGGCTCATGTTCACAGAAACTGGGAGGAAGCAGTCGCAATTCAACGTTTACCTGGTCAGCTTCTTTCTCTCGAACACAAGTTGCATGGGGAAGGCGTCCAGATCTCCGCTTTTAGCGAAGACCTGGCTTGACAGCCCAAGGCCTTCAACCTTGCGCGAAGCCGAAGCCGCAAGGCCGTGAGGTATCTGATTCTCAGCTCACGGCCAGGGGCTGCGATTAGCCACTCGATGCTACAAAAGCTGCCCTGTGGCTCTCGTCCATCAGCCAGTCCATGAACCTGCAGGGAGGGGCCACTGGGAGGCCCTTTTTTAAGCCGCTTGCAGCTCTGAGGCGAGGGCTCATCCACATCGATCTTGTAGTCGCGGTTCTTGTCCTTAGTGTAGGCAGCTGCACTCCGAGCCTCTGCCACTCTTCGCCAAGCTCGGCAGACTCTGAGCCCGTGCAGCGGCCGAGAGTCTGTGGACTTGATCATTGCATCAATCCTTATGTGGCACAAGGCTTTGGATCGCATTGGAGTTGGGCAGTGAGGGCTTCTGTCAAAGGCAACGATCTCACCATCTTCATGCCAGGCTCTCCGAGTCCTTGATGCCCACCTTCTTCCTCAGTCGCGCTCCAGGTCCACAGAAGGAAGCGCTGGCTGTGCTTGTGCCCTGAACCGTCCTGAACCGTAGACTTTGGTCAAGCGGCAGGATCTCAACGAACCGCCCCAGCGACATAGCGTCGTCCATGTCTTTGGCGCTGCGGAACCTGCAGACACTGCAACCCCGAGCACCTGCACCGACAGAGTAACCCCGACTACGTGTCGAAGCTGGCATCTTCCTCAAATTTCTGTCTCAAAAATGCCACTGTGATAGCTGTGGCTTGTCTCGCTTAAGTCGACTTCGAACAGTGGCTCCAAGCGGACTGCAATGCAGCTGCAGTGGCATCTCTCGAAGCTTGGACGAATCACCTCGTCATCGGCAGCTCGGCTCTTCACCCCTTCTTGCCCGCTTCTTTGACCAAAAGTCTCAGAGGAGGAGAACACACGCCGAGGCCGCCGCCGTGCCTGGGCTCACGATCCGGATCCTCGGCGCAGAGGCGCGTCCCGAAGGACTGCTACGCTGAAGGCGAAGGACCTCTCTCTAGGAAGCCTCTCTGTGGCAAACAGAGTGGCGACCAGAACTCACAACACAGGTACCCAACAAGGCGAGGCGGCCCCATCCTCAGTTTCGTGCGAGGCGCCTTCAAGCCCATTCTGATGCAGTAGTCGGAGAACTCCTTGAACAAGATGCAGCCTCCGAGAGATCACACATGGCCAAGGCGAAGCCCACAGCTCCCCCTTGACACCACAGTGCAGGGTACGTGAAACCTCTTTGTCCCTCACACCATGGCCAACCCGACACCAGCTTTGCCAAAGATGTGTGAAGGGCCCAGGCCTCCTTGATCTTCATCAATCCTCGTTGACCGGAAAGAGAAGCGCTTGAATTGCCGCATGCCGTGGCAACTCGTTCTGAGAACTCACTTGCACATGCAGCCCGAGCAGCTCGTTGAAGATAGAGTAACCAGGCATGGGGGTGTCACCACACTTGTCCTCCAACCTGTGCTGGTCTGGCAGAAGTCCAGGGCTCCAACGGCTGCACATGCGTCCGACTTTTAGGTGCGCGCTGCTCGAAGATGCAGGCAAGTCACATTTCTGGAGTGACCTATGCAAGGGACTTTAACAAGGTCCGCAGATGCTTCCACATGATCCAAGACAAGGCATGGACTGTCCCTAGGCTCTAATCAGTTCCCCGGATGGCACCTTGATGCCAACTTTCTCGGCCTTGCCAGATGTCACGAAGTTGGCGAATTCCTGCCAGCCCCAGCCCATTAGCCTGGGCATGACTTGTGCCCCAGCAGTCCCCAGCACGTCCTGACAGTCGATGCGGCGGTCTTCGTCAGCGTCGGCCATGTCTTGGAATATCAGGTACCTCGTTTAGCAGTCGTCGTTGCAGCCGTCGCAGTAGTGGGAGTGGCAGTAGTAATAGTAGAAGTAGGGGAGTAATCGGAGGCGGTGGACGACGCGGATGCAGATGACTGCTTCGGGCCTCGCTCGCGTAGAACATCAGCCTTTTGCGATCCAAGCTGCATTTCAAAGAACTCGTGGAGGTATTGCAACCTCACACGAATTCAAAGGCTAAAAGAGACACCGCTACTACACTTGAGCAAAGGGGAGTCTTCACCTCAACGATGCACGAAGCGAAAAAGCTGGGCCAGGCCACGCAAGTGGTGAATGCGTCACAGACCACCAGCTTAAGCAAGTGTCTCTTCTCGCGTTTAAGGGCAAGAACAGGAACCACACACCATGGGACACGGCCACTCCGCCCGCTGACAATTGACAGACTTCCTGTGGGGCCTAGCAGAATCGAGCTGGAACCACCGACGAAGATCACACTTCTGCCAAACGTGCTCAGGTTGCAGAGCACACAATGCTTGCAGGGCACAGTAAGCGGAACTGCTCCCCCGGTTTGACGTAGTGCTTCTCGTGCTCCCGATACCTGCAGCAAGCTGCAGCTGCGACGGCTCCTTCGTCATAACATGTGTGCCAGCCCGTAGCCGCAATGCTCTGAGGACACTGCGCTGCGGCATCATGCCGGGCCGGAGGACCTCTGAAGCGTGAGGATTTGTAAGTCAGTAGCTCAAAGCGCAACCACCAGCACGTGCCGACAGGAGGCGTCCCGTTGCTGCCAGAAAAGCTCGGATGATGGCGGGCTTCGCCTGCGGCCAAAAAGGAACTTCGTGAAGCTTCACAGTGCCCTCATGCAATGCAACTGGCTGAGCTGCGAACGTTGAACAGCGCTGTGCAGCCCATGACCTCCGGAAGGGCCTCGCATTTTTAGCGGCAAAAAAGGCTTCAAGAGGCTCCGCATGCCGGCCCTAAAGGGCCGTCCAAGCGGGTCTCGCCTTATCGATCTCTGCCAAACTGACCATCCCGTTGTGATTGATGTCCACCAGCTTGAAGAGCTCGGCGCGGGCCGCCTCCTCCTTCCAGGGTTGCCGCAACTCTTCATCTATTGAGGTGCAAAGAAGGGTGTAGCCATAAAGCGCAATGTCAGGATCTCAATCAACCACTGGTGACGGTTTGAGCAATGCGAGTGTACAGTACCCAAGTATCCAACCAAAAGCTGCCGCTCCTCCTCGGTCTTCTGGTACTTGAGCTTTCCCTCAGGGTATTCGCACAAAATTCGGACCGTGTGGCAAAACGCCCCCAAGATCCCAAAAGACGACCGCGCCGCAGAAGCCTGCATGGCATCCACCTCAGGTCGACCCAGAGCAACCCATCTGGCTGCTCCCGTGGCTCCTTAGAAAGGCTCCGAGGAGCCAGAGCCAACTTCTTCTATGATTTCCACGGTCTACGGTCTATGGCGGCTTCTGTCAAGGCTCCGGTGTTCTCGGGGTTCGGTGTCGCTTTCCAAGCACCGGTGTCCTCGCACACCGCGCTGCCCCTCACAGAGATCTTCCACCACCCGGTCCTGGCCTTGTGCACGGTGTTGCGGCAGTTGATGCGCTTCACCCAGAGAGCAATGTACTTTCCGTCCTCTCGGCCACGGCTCACATAGTCAAAGTGTCACAGGTCCATCGGACACAAGTTCCTCGTTCTTCTCGGCGCTGCGAACCTTCACCTTCGAGGGGTCGCGTATGCCAAAGGACCTGGGTCTCCCACAAGTCAAGTCACGAATTCTGTCCCAAGGACTGCCGGGTAGCGAACGAGATCAAACACTTCCTTAGACTTGGCGCTCTCACCTACTTCCTTGCTTGCAAGTTGAGAGCCAAGCGAAGACGATCACTGTGCCAGGCTGAAGGAGAGGATTGCAGACAAGACTCATTCCGTTGTACTGCTCGCGTTTCCCCCTCAAGCCACTGAGGTGAACCCAGCTGACACCAACGTGGAACTTGCCTCTGCCACTCAGACTCAGAATTCCGGAACTGCTAGTCGAAACGAGTGACACCGCGTTGCAGTTTGCAGTTGCAGCCAAGGCACCTTGGTCGAGCTGGTGGTCAAGTTGGAGTGCCTGGAACCCAGCAGATGCTAGCTGCATTGCAGCTGTTGAAGTCGCGCGAACATACTTCGCCCCTCCTCTGCTTTACTCGGGCTCGAGCCTCCTCCTCTTCGTCCCGCGGCCGGCAGACGTCCATGCCTTCCATGCCTTCCTCCGCCGGCTCCTTCCATGCGACTGTGCGCAGATGAGGGGCAGCTTGCGCCGCTGTGCTACCCGCTGCACCCGCGAGGTCGGCTCCCGCCTCTTCTTCCTCACCGATGACCTCCTCGTCGCCGTCACCGGCCGCCATGACCTCCTGTCAAACACAGCACCAGCATGCCCGAGTTGAGCAGAAATTCAACTGCCACTGTGGCCACTCGAGGCTTCCACACAGTGCTGCTATCGGCTGACCTGTCCTCCATCTCCTCCGCACTAGGTTCTGCCATGGTCTGCGGCGGCTTGGCAGACTCGGAACTACGTGGAAAAGGGCACCCAACACCGAGAACGAAGCAGAATTAATCCATGCTGCATGGTGCTGTATCTGCATGCTCCAAACATCTTCTCTTTTCCTCTCTCTGCAAATCTTGGGCCCACGCGAACAAGCGAGTGATCCGAGCGATCCAAAGCAACTCCCCAGTTGAGTTATGTCCCCATGTCACTAAGCCCTTGGCTTTCCGATCTGATGGGCGCGCTCCATGTGCGCGGAAGATACATTCGAAAACTTTGCCCTGCAAGGAGGACTGCTTCAGCAGTTCTCGGCATCTGACAATAGATGTGGCTTGCAGCATTGTCTAGCCGGCTTGGCGTCTAGGTTCGTAAAACAGTTTCGCCTTCTATCTTCTATCCCAAGCACTTTGCTGCGCCGGAACATCCGTGCTATAAATGTATGCCACTTCAGAGACTGGGAAAATCGCAGTTCATTATCGCACTGCCATCATGCAGCCAGGCTCCGGGGCTGGCGAATGAAGGTCGGCAGATGTCACTAAGTCGACACTACGCGCTGTCCGCCAGGTTGAGGATTGACCGTACGTGCCCCAAACTCTTGGTCATGTATCTCCCATCCCAAGATTCATGCCTGCAGCTGTAGATTATCGGGCAGAATTGCTGGCAACAGCAGCTCTGCTTGGCCGGAAGAGTTCCGCAACGTCGTCTTGGACCAAGGATCTGCACTTCGGCCACTAAGTCTGCTTGATGACCTGAGAACCGTCAACACCCTTTAGGAAAACAACAGGACATGGAGGACAAGTGTGACACACGTGTCACGGCAGGCAAGAGGCAGGTTTAGGAACTCAAGCGTACCGCAGGACGAAGGGATCTGTCCACTCAGGATCGAGGGTCCGGATGGAATCATAGTTTGGGCCTCTTCTTGCTGCCAAGTGTCTGCCAAAATTGCTTCCTTGGAAGCAACGTAAGCTTCCCGAGAAGGCACCCCAAGGCCCCTAAAGGACATAGAAGGAGAGAAAAACATACCGAGGGAGCAAGACAGAGACCAATGCTACGAAAGAGCAAAAACAGAAATGATAGGTGACGTTTACGGCTGCAGAAAACCGTGGGCGGTTATGCTGTTTCCATTCTCTCTACCGGCATCGACGAAAACCACGGGAGCTCCAGGTGCAAAACGAAGTTCCAGTTCGAACGAGCTTGCATCTACAAGTAACTGAGAGCCCTGTGAGGCGACACTGCCGAAAGTCTGTGATATCTTTCCGAAAGAATACATGTCCAGTATCCGTGAAGTCTCCGAATTCCCACCCCACAGATTGGGCGACGTGAGCACCGGTGCGGAGGTTTGTAGTCGGTTGCGGTGTGCGGTTTCGAGATATCCACGACTGGAAGCGTTGCCGCCCAGGCTCGGAAGGCACATTGACCTTGCCAATGGCCTGCATCTTCTTCTTGCCGGCTGCCTGCTTCTGCAGCAGCTTCTTTTTGCCTGAGGATCCGCGCGCAAGGCTTCTGCCGGACGTGGGATCTTGGGGGCCACTGTCAAGGACGGTGGATTCGGGGAAGAATAGAAAGGTGATAATAGCATCATGGTATATCATGGTCATCCAGGGCGCGGGAGATGTCACCGCCGTAGCACTTCGCCAAGACATCCTTCCTCACAGCCTTGATGTTCTCCGAGGCAATGATGTGGGTGCCTCATTCTGTGACACTCCCCAAACCGGCTGTCTCTGTGCTGTGAACCGAAAGCTGTTTTGCAGCTAAGTGGCCGATACGTGCCTGGATGATGACCTTGATCTGCTGAGCGGGGATCTCTTCCTTCAAGATCTTGACAATCTTCCTTTCAAGCGGGGCCAGTCCCGGTCGAGGAGCCCGAATAAACGCAACCCGTGCTAATGAGTTGAGGAGTTAATGACCCATGAGCAAGGTTTGGATACACACCCAAAAGTCGCGCCAACGCAGAAGTCACCTACCGATCTACCGCTCCCGTTTGGACCACTTCTCCCACGCCTGGCAAACTCTTGGACTCGCGAGCGATGCACGATCTGCGCCAATGGGTTGGCCGTGGTCTTGTTGATATCCACCTAACCGGATTGACCCAAGCGCCACCAGACCCGACTGAACAAAGGAAGAGGCCTTTCCGAAACATTCCGCAAAGGGTGTAATGTGCGTCGGCCACAATGGCTACAGCGACAACAGCAACAGAAATTGCAGCAACTCTCCAAAAAACCGTGCCTCAAGCTTCACCAGATCGTTAGGCCTGGCCGAAGGGAAAAAAAAAAGCTAGGGCACAATACACGATGGGCATCGCTTTTATCCTTCCCTTGCAAACACTAAGGCACAGGGATAGATTTGCTCTGACGTGGGGGGTCATTGCAACATCCACGTCTAGGAGCTCACACGTGCTCACCTCAAGCTGGGAGACTGCTGCTATATCGGGGTTAGCATTGGTGCTATACAAGATCGTAGGCACAAAGGTTGCCTGGTGCATTCCTTCCACATGCGACAAGTGAAGCCACACAGGGAGACGAGTCCTGAAGTCCATGATGCGATAGTCCATGGAAGCATAGCCACGCGAGCGGCTTTTGAGCTCCTTGCACAACGACATACTCACGACGCAAAAGCCTCCACACTTCTGATCACCCAAAAAGGATGTAGCTGGCACTGCAAGCATTGGCTGCGCCAGAAAGGTGCGCTTAGCCCTGCCACAGCTCGCCATGGTTACAATGGCTTCAGAGTCCCTTAGCTCAGCCCTGACCGGGAATTCTGCCCACAGCACACGGTTACAGCCAGGTCGCAGCGAAGAAATCGCGGATCATCTCTGCCATGGGCATCCTGATCCAGGATGCAGTGAAGGTCATGCCGCATGCGAGCTTGTCGGCCCAGCGGCTCATACTCCAACAAGGCGCGCCCTTGAGTGAGAAAGCTGGTCGTCCTGGGAGGCAAGACACAAGAAGGTAGTGCAGGGAGTGCAGCTTTCCGATCGCAGGTCCTGTAGATGGCACGACGCTGAACCGCCAGCTCCATGCAAGGTCCCATGTGCTCCTCCGGAACGATCAGCTCAAGCCTTGCACGAACGGAGCTAGCATTCAACTCCTGTCGCTTCAGAGGCGTCACAACACTGTCTTGTCGAGAAGCAAGCAGTACGGCTCGCGGATCTCCACAATGTTCGTGGGTGGTGGAAGCATGTTGGCGAACCTAAAGCTCGCGACGGGCTCACCCCTCGCCCTCCCAGAATCGACAAACACACCAGAACTTCAGCCAGGCGCTGAATGGTTGTCTCAGATCCGTCCTTCATCTGCAGTTGGTATTCCACCTGGGCTGAAACGGGAAGGCTGCTTCTGCACGAGACCTCCTCTGATCACGGTTTTTGCTCCCGGAAGGGGCAGGTTTCTAGGTTGTCCCCTCGTTCCAAGCGCAGCGAACAAATCAGAGCACAGAAGCCTGCTGAAGTTCATGCCAGTCACAGACGGGGCAGTCACGATGAGATCGAGATCGTACTCTCTTTCGAGGCGTTCCTGCGCATGAACATGGATTAGAAGCTCGGGCGAGTGCACCTCCACGGCTCCTTGACGACCTCCATGTGCAGAACGCCGAGGAAACCACAGCGAAAGCCAAGGCCTAATGCCACCTTGGCTGAAGTCCAAAGCCGACGATACCGGACCTGCATCTTAGCCAAGCCGCTGAGTTCTCAGGCTGGTAGAACAAAGCTGCGTCGTTCAAGCTCAGCTTGTCAAAGGCACTCCTGGCAACACTGCCTAGCCCCATGAGAAGTCTTCGTAACAACTCCGCTAACGGTGTTTGCAGGGAGAGAGCAACTCAAGCCAAAAGAGATGGGGCCATCGACATGGCGTGGCTTCTGCGATATGGACACACCCAAGAGGAACAGCAGCTTAGGGCACCTAGAGCCTGGAGACCACTACCTTGGGCTATCCCAGAGCCGGGTAAAGAAGCAAGCTGCATGCACCTCATGGCATCGAAGTCCCCCGAGACTGCAGGAAAGAGGCCTCAGGCCGTCTCCGGATTGTGTTGCGTCTGCTCACAGGGCATGCTCGCTCGCACGGGATTCGGTAGTGTGACTTCCTGATCTTGGCCACATCCCATGCCATCCGGCAGCCGCTCAAGTCCACAAGATGCATAGCGATTACCGGGCCCGATTCTAGTCCCAGGCACCGCAGAAGACCATTGGAGTGGCCTCTGCACACACACCGGGTGACACGCTGTGCTTCAAACTTGAATAAATAGAAATCGCGTAAGAATGAGACGGACAAGCCCAAGTCAGAGCAGCTTATTGAATACGAAATCTGCAGAAATCGGTGGCTGCTACGGCTGAACCAATGACAATTTCAACGAACAGGCCATTCCTGAACAGACCGAGCATGCCCTGAAGCGGAAGTCCCGCCGTCGCTGGCCTCCGTGTAGCCGGGCAAAGCCTCCACTTCGTCCTCAGTGCCTGCCTCGATGATGGTGTCTCCCACGCGAGCATCACCGACCTTGGAAAGCGCTGCAGTCTGCCAAAAGCCATCTTCGCTAAAACGACCCAGGCAACCGCCAGGCAAAGGCAAGCTGCTGTCTTGATGTTGGCACAGACGTAGCCGACCTCTCCCACGCTCAATTTCTGGACGGGCTTTCGAGCGCCCCCAATCCTCAGCGGTGTGCGGACTTTGGCCGGCAGTGCTTCTACTACGCATCTCCAAACGGCTTGCACACCAAAGCGCATGATGCCGATCTCCTGCATCGGAGCAGGTGAAAGGAACACGTGGAGTCAGGCGTCTAATCGAGCTAGCCGGCCCGATCCATCCTCCACGAGGAACTCCTTTCCAGAGTTCTTGAAGCGGATCTTCTGTCCTCCGCAGCAGCGTTCTGGCACAG